AATGCCAGAGGAATGTGCATGCTGGCTGGAAATAGCTTGTGAGGCAGCACAGGGTTAGGTTTTAACCACTGAAAAAGAAAGCTTTCATAGTAGCCTGCTAATCTATTCATCTGAGCTTCAATCTTATTTCTGAAGCAACAAGTGCTACCACCAACTCTGTTCCAGGAGCTTCCTCCCTATATCCTCCAAATCCTGCTTTTCTTGAACCCTGCAGACACTCCTATCCAGACGGAGCTGACGCTCGGGGTCTGCAGCACAGAGATTGCTGCCGTCTAGGTGATGGTTGGCATCACCAGTGCCAAGTTCCCCATCTGGGCTTTATTGGACATAAATGGTTTCTCTTGCTGTGAATGCACCTACAGACTGGATTGCACACAGAACAGGAAAGCACGTGGGAACCTGATTTCATAAGATCACCAACCCTGGTCAGGAAAGCCCTACTGCCCTGTAAAGCTAAAGGGGCCAGGAAGAAAATTACTGAGAACTTGCTCTATTTTTGTTGCCTCTGAAGAACCATTGTGTCATGTCTACTCCCAAATCATTCAGTGCCAGGGTCAAGAATTGAAACTGCAATCCCAACTCACTGCACGTTTGGGTGGCAAATGACTCAGTCTTGTAAAAAGAAGCTTATAAGATCTCCTACAACTGAAAAGGAGAAAATAATGGTCTAGTTTGCCGCCACATTTTGAGGACAGGCTATTCACCTGGGAGCCTAAGCACCTACCTCTTTCATCTTTGGCAGGTTATTTACCTCCATAATCCTCCTCTAAGATAAAGACATTTGTTTTATTTTTTAAGCCACTCTGAGCCAAGTACTGTCACCAGATTATCTCGTGCAGGACTGGGGAAGAAGCGTGCACCAAGCCACCCACATCCCTACCCAGACAGGAACAGAGTTGGAGGCAGGCAAGTGAGAATGACTTCAGAGTTTGACCTTCTGAGCTGGACTGTTAAGAAAACAAACAAGAAACTGTCCGATGCTACTACAGTTATTTCAGTACTTTTTTAGCAACTGGCAGGGCTCTCCTGTTTCCATGACAGCCTGTGAAATACGCATCTGTAATCATTATTATTTTAAGCCAATATAGTATTACCCGCATACGTGGGCAGACGCTGTAGTCTTTTCCCAACTGAGTAACCACCATCAACTCACATTATATCACGTCAAAATAGAAATTCCCAAGTTCTGCCCCGTGGGCTCTTTTCTGGCAGTCAATGGAAACACTGCCCATATAGATCACGCTGGCTCCTTTGGCTCCCTGCTGCTGCATTGCATTAGAGACAGCTAAAAATACCTTCGATCCATTCCTAATATTTTTTCCACATCTGCCGTTGCTGTAGTTACCAGAGAGCCTGCTATGCCAATCTGAATGGGGAGGGTAAGGCCGTTCACACAGCCATGAACGGCGAAGGAATAGTCCAGAAAGATGAGCTATTAAATGCACCCTGTAAATCCCTCTGGGTGCAGGCAGGATTTGCTGCTCCATGAGCAGCAGGGGCTCTTCCCAAACCAGCAGCCACTGCCCCTTTCGCTGTCCCCAAGAAAAACCTCTTTTGCTTGATACCCGACCCTGCTCCCACTGACTCCCCAGCTCTGCCCCAAGACTCTGATCCCTACTCCGCGTTAACAGGCAAACACTGGGGCCAAACCAAAATGTACTACGTGGCCAAGTGGAACAAAGGGGCCATCGATTTGTGTTTTTCATTTCAAAACAATTAAATGACACCCATCAAGGTGCTTGTGAGCCCTGCCTTAGTAACAGGGCAGCAAAGGCTGGCGTTCAGAGAGAATAAGTGGAGAAGGAAAACTTGGGGAACAAAACCAGCACTCTCCTCAGCTGTACCCCTTCACTCTAGTCTGCCTGAAGATTTGACATCTACAGAAATTGTAATTGTAACTGAACTTGGACATTATTGAGCCAAGTTTAAAAAAAAAAAAAAACAAAACTCACTCTCCCAGAAGATTTTTCCCAGCTTTTCTTAAAAATAGTTCACAGTTTGCTTCCAGAGTTCACAGCAACGATAGGATAGGATATTACAGGGCAATGCTGACAGGCAGACAAACCTTTTTAAGGCCATACATGCTCACATTTCACATGTCATCAATCACCAAACATGGATTAAAGGAATGCAGACCTACTCTATTTCTGGTTGGCTTTTACTTTCCCAGAGAAATGCCATTGAGTAAGAACTAAAATGCTTAGAAACAGGTTCCTCACACCCACATTCCCAATCTCCTACTAGTGGGGCCTGGATGTACAGAAAGGGCACAGGAGTGCAAATGCAAGAAGAAATAAGCGCTAAAACTAAGCATCTTCTATGAGCAGCTAAAGACATACACACTCAGAAAGGCATACAGGAGCAGGCCTCAAGGCTATGCCAGGAAGGATTTTAAATGGAAATGGAAAGTAGAATATACAAGTCCCCAGCTTTCCCACAAGTAAAACTTACTCATGTGCTAAGTTCAATTTTCCATTTGCCATGGTAGTTTAGCATGCTATATTTTCTCCATCCATATTAACTCCTACAGCTCTGAAGAAGGCCCCAGGATTCAATGTCTATGAAGGACTAGGAAAATTCCTGCTCAGGCTGCAGCCTGGTTAGCTCGTGCGATCGTATCCGCTCACAGCTGAAGGTAGCACAGCCTGGATTACAGCCCCAGGCCACCCACAGCATCAGTGGGGAAGATACCCCCAGCAGAGGGGACCATTCTTCTGCGATCAGGGGCAGACTCCTTTAAGCAACATTTACATGGGCATAGCGGCATCAGAAAACATGTCCCCTGACAGTGTGGGCCTTCCAAAAATATTTTGCCTTCCCCTGCTAGCAAGAAGAACCTTTGAAAGCATTCAAATATTAAAAGATACTTAAATAATCTTAAGAAGTATCAGCAGCTTATTCCAGCAGCATGCTACAGACTTTCAGCCACTCTCCTTGCCTAACATAATTTATTCAATTGCTTATGTTATTTTCCGAGTTTTTAGAGCTATTTCTTAAAAAAAAAAAAAAAGGTGTATTACACTATCCAGCAACGCTAACAAAAAGAGGATCAGATTATGCTTGAGTCTCCCTGGCATTTCCACCAAACCCTTTACAAAAGCCTTATCTATGACTCAGAAGAGGCTGTCTCTGCCAGAATTAGAAAACCCAATACTTTCCTTTCCTGCCTAGCAAGGAACCCTCAGCTGCGCAAAGCCAGATGAGGAACAAGCAGGGCTCATCTGCAAGGAGAGCCCTTGTGAGCAGACCGCCCCCTCCCCCAGCACAAACACAACTGCTGTTCAGGAAGGGGGCTGCTCTCTGCACCTCACTCGGGTGCTTTAATGCTAAGATGAAAACAGTTCGCTTGCCAGCCCAGGGGGCAAAGGGAGCCTTCTCCCGTTGTTGAACATCAGCCCTTCCACGACCCTGTGGAGCCAGCCCAGCATCAGAGGTCTCTGTCTACCCTGGTACAGCCTCTAGGCCTGAGTTGCAAAGCTCTGGAGAAAGCAGCCCCTTTCCCTCACAGCCTCAACAAGAGAATAAAAGAAGGTGCTGGAAACAGTCCAGCTGGGACTCACCGTTTCGGCTTCTTCCAGCTGCTGCAGGCACAGTCCTGATCTCCTTCACTTCTCCACTTGTGGACAGGCTGGATCCTAAAGCACTCTGTCACCAACCACTCCAAAACCACCTCCTGCAGCCCCAAAGCCACCCGCTCCCTCCCTCAGGAGCCGCTGCCCTGGGGCCCAGCCCCGTTCCAGGTGGGACTCGTTGAGGGGAACAGGTGGCTAATTAGGAGCAAGCCCGAGAGCAGGGCGTGGCCAGGTGCTGCCTCCTGCTCAGGGCTACAAAGAAGTCTTGTGTGGGTATGGCTCTCTGCTTCATGGTAGCTCCAAAAATGTCCTATCTTGAGGTGCTTTTGTCCAGCTGAAGGCGCAGTGATGTAGTCAGCTGAGATGGCCGGCAGAAAGGGGTTTCTTGACCAAGAAACAGGCTCAGGAAGCAGGTGGCTTCCTGAGGTAGTTGAGGCTGGTAGCTACCTGAAAGTGCAAGCAAGCCTACCTGGGTCTCTTACCGTGGTGTTTTTTCAGGCTTTCTGCTCAATGTAGCCATGGGATTTTGCACAAAGCTCAGCTGTGCAGCTGTTTCTGTGCAAGTGCACGCCCTGAACAACCCGGAGCTACCATTAAGGTTGGGCAGGTTTGCGCCATCTCCTCTGAATCTGGGCTAGGCTAAGGTTTAACTTTCCTTACTTTTTTTTTTAGCTGTCCTCTTTGGAGAAGAGTAACTACGAATTTTCTTGATAGTCCCCATAAATAAGCAGTTCTTGTCAGAGCCAGAGAGCATGACTTGCTGAGTACTGTTGCTTCCTCTTTTTTGCATTTGCTAGGTGTACAGGTTTGGTTTAAAAAAACAAAAGAAAATGAACCCTGACTGAGCCTAGGCTTGCTGTGGAAATGGCTAGCTGTCTTTTTTCAAAGGAGGCTGAAAAGCCTGGGCTTAGGTGCTTTGCTGAAACAGGACAGGGTGTTGATGCTGAATATCTTTGTGCTCCATTAATCTTCTTTGTGGAATGAAATATTCCAACTATAGCAAAATCCAGATGGGTTAGTGATGGTTAGGCAGGAAGGAAAAAAGGACTACCAGCAAGTGTGGGTGGAAACATGCTTAGTTATTTCTCGCAGTTGTTATATGAAGTAACTGCCTTTTTGTTAAAGGTTGCTGAGTTTAGTTGCGTGAAATGAGAAGTTATTCTGTAGAAGGCGAGGCTGTGGGTTATCGGCAGAAGAGCAGACTGCTTAGGCTACATCACATCTGAATGCTTTTGTGTCAGATACAAGCGCTCTGGGCCGTCGGGGAGAAAATCACAAGAAAATCACCAAGTACGAATTCTCTAAGGTGACGGAAAGTCAGTTTTATGAGAAAACTTCTTGATCGGGATCCTCCAGTCTCTTGCTTCCTTCCTCTTACCTAGTCAATTAATCTTACGGAGCCCAGCATAAATTTGTGTACTTCTTTAATAATAACATCAAGGTCAGCAAGAGTAACGACTGAATTTAACAAATGACACATGCAACAAACACAGGGAGTAAAACATCATTGCATAGCACTGGCTGAACTGACAAAACTTAAATTGACATCAAAACAGAAGGCTTGTTTTTTTTTTTTTCCTTTGCTGCATCAGGACCACGTTTAAGGCGATGTTACTGACTTGTTACCCTCAAACCTTGCCAGAGCTCTCAGAAAGACAACGTTCCCCTGCTTTCCCAAAGTAAACGGTGACAGAAGATGCCTTGACACACCAACGAGTAGAGAGAGAATTCTGAAGACCACTAAGGTTCACATGGGTGAATGCTTCAAAATACAGCCAGCAACAATTTGTAACTGTTTTAACCCAAAAAAACATCTGAATCCTTGTCAAATGCAACTGCTTAGTCCTTTGAGGCCACAGGACACACTGACAAAAAGTTTTGGATGAATTAAGAACAACAGGAGCAGTTGAAGTGACCTATTTAGAGCAAATGAAACATAACTGTTTGTTTAATGTCATCAGACATCTGGTTAGTGTTGTTTAGACCAATCCTATATATGAGCATGTGCAACTAGTAAACAGCGAGACCTGATGAAGTCTTTTGAAATTGCAGAGCAGATGTAGTGCCACTCAACTCCTTTTGATCTATAACGAATATTTACTTAAAAATTGGCTAGTGTGGATTGATAGCCTGTGTAATGTGTTTCTAGGAAAGTTCTACAGAGAGAGAATACATAGGGTACCATATGTCAGTATATAGTACACCAGCTAATTCAACCTCATTTCCATAGCATTAATTGTCAGTGGAAGCTGATTTAAATTCAGGCCCAAATTTTCACTCTCAGTTGCCTTAAGTTAGGTTTGGAAGTTAATCTTTAGGGACTGGCATTAAAAAGTATGGTTTTTATAAAAAAGCACTGGCAGTACTTTTGAGGATGCCGTTTTAGCAGGCAACGTAGGTTGATCCTAAATACAAGACCAGATACAAAGTCTGCCACTAAACATCTGCTCTATTTTTTCTGAGAATGTTAGTGAGGGTCTACCGAAACCAATTCACTGACAGTAGCGTGCTTCTGTGCCCAGATAATCGCTCCATTTGTAAGGCAGGAACAGTTGGTGTGTCTGTACCCGCTGCACTCTGGCCGTATCCTGCCCTGGATTGGTGTGCATAACACCTTGCCTATGGATCAAGGGCGTATATAGCTTAGAGTTCTAGTGCTCCAATTAATGCTATGTAAAATAGGTATTCGTCACTACAGGAAATATTTGTACATTTATAAAAAAAAAAAAAAAGCAATACAACCATAAAGAAAAAAATACAACAAGCACAGCTTGATACAATAACATGCCATGAAATATCATTGGCTTTATAATAATTTACTACAACTTGAAAAATGTTCTTTTATCCACACTGGATAGGAAATGCTTCCATCTAACATATGGTAAGCATGCAACAACAATATGTACAACAAAAAATTTGGAGTTTGTTTTTTATTCATAAACTGGATGATTGCATAGAGGATATTCTTTTGTTTCTTTTGTACTGTTAGGGGTTTCCCCCCTTGATTTGGGGAACAGAATGAAAATTTGTATACGCATCTGCAACAAGTTAGCTTTAATCATGGAGTATACAATGCTTTTATTTTTTTCCCCAGCAGTAGGTTTAGATTTATTGGTTAATTGACTGACACACATACACAGACACACACACACACTCAATGCCATATTGTTGAAAACCAATTTCCTTTCCAAGCTTTTTTGAAATATTGAGGATCTGTTAAGAGAAATATCTATCGATCCCGTATTACACTATACCCAGTTTTTACACCTTTCACCATCATACCAAATCAACAACTATTTAACTAGATCCCATCCATCATAAGAGGGAGTCCAATCAAACTTGTGTCAGGGTGTTAAAAGTTTCCCAGTCCCACCTGACAATCACAAAGTCGTCTTGTTGAACTAACCACGGCCTGTAGCTGATACAATCTGACATAGTGAATATCAAAACTATTGTTTTTGCTCCTAATTGGGGACTGCTTTGTGCCGCCTGCAGACAAAACAGTGAGATGGGCGAATTAATCAGCCTTTTTGCAGAACAGCCAGCCCTTGGCTGTAGAATGAGTCTTCAGGTCTGTTGTCATTGCTGTATTTATCTCATCTTGTAGATGATACATGGCTGTAATGGTGGGTGAGGTTGGTGAATGACAGTCAGACTGACTCCGAGTCTCACGGTAAGGGTTCATTCACAAAATTCCTTAGCAAAAGGACCCCAGGCCAAGTCTTCGCTGAGTCTTTAACTGGTCTGTTCTTTTTCCTTTTTGAGCTTTTTTTTTTCTTTTTCCTTTTTTTTTTTTTTTGCTAGAAAAGCTAGAATTAGTATTTCCAACAGCATTTACTTGGCAAAGCATTTCTTTATCTGGTAGAAAATTATGAGTATGAAAACTCTTAGATATTCATAGAACTGCAGCTACAAAGACGGTTTACCTTTTATGACTTCGTAATTTCCACAGAGAGTCATTTTGTGAGAACTGATCCTGACAGTAAACTAGGGAGCCAGAGGCTTGACGGAAGTGCCGAGTGATCTCACCTATTTCTAGCACTGTGTGTTGCAAAGGCAGGTGCTCAGAAAGTTTGCTATAGGTTAAAACGTGTGCATATGCAATATTGTGGAATACGATGGGGTCCCATAATGGTAAAGTGAGGAGAAAGCATGCAGAAATGCAGCCAGTGCATTTCTTGGAAGACTGATTCCCATCTTACATGTCCTGTGTGTGATTTTTGCCTTCGTCAACAACTGCTAATAAAAGTGATGCTGTTGAGAGTTGACAACAGTGAGTAAGCACACTGGCTTGTCTTCACTATGAGTTTGGAAGGCATCCACTACTTATTCAGGAAGGGAAAACAAAAAATAAATTTCCATGTGGAAATATTTTTAGGGCGAAAGAATGTAATTTACAGAAAAAACAGAAACGCATCAGTGGTAATCATTTCAAACTGACAATAACAAGGAGCCTAAGGAGACTGGATTTAAAGAAATCAATACACCTAACCACTTGTTCATCTTCAGAAACTTTCCTTTTAAAAAGGAAAACAGCATTAAATTACACTGCTGAACTCAGCAAAGCGATTAATTAGATGGACAAAACTTAGTCTCAACTAAATGCTAAACGCTTCTATCAACCACACCCTCCCTAGATTCCTTTTTATGAACTCTCAATTCAATTCAATTTTTATGAACTCTTCTGTCCCACTGGGAGCACTGAAGGCTGACCTGCTGCGAATTATTGCTTGTCCTCAGGGATGGGGTCAAAGCCTCGTGGGCATACTGATTGGTTTATTTTTCCATGTGATTCATTTTCCTAGTGGCACTCCATTTTCATTCACCTGCACTTCCACATACCAACATACTCAAATCCAGACACCAGAGACCTACCCATTCTCCTTCCTGGATCCTCCAAGATGACAATAATTTCCCTCCTCCAATGCATGGTCCATGGCAACAGCTGCTTGTCATCAGTTCTTTCTGGATTTAAAAGGGTTTCTACACTTGCAGACCTGCTGTTGCTATTATTTGCCCGGCAGCTGGCACGTGGGAGAGACGTGATTGGCTTTCTGTTGTACCTTGAGTCTTGTACCACGAAGTTTGTGCAATTGTCTCCAAGTAGCTAGCTGGGACGTCTGCTCCTGCAGAGTCTTTTATTGTCCTCCCTGGGGGGAACTGCCTTTCCTGAGAGTTACCCTAGTTATTCATTCATTTCTTCAGTTTCTCCTGGAATCACCATGGTAAGACACAGTGAAGTGGCAGGGACAAGAAGGGGAGAGAGCCTTGCTGAAACAGACTTAAGTTATTTGCCTTATTCTTGCAGTCTCTTGGCTTTTCTTGCTTCGATAGTTTGGTGGCACTGATGCACAAGGGATTAAAAAAAAAAGAAAATAGAAGGAGAAAGATGACTACTAAGTGGTTCGTTCTGTTGTCATCCATTTCAAAAATGGTCCGGCTTCCTCTAATCGCCCCTCCCCCCCACCCCCCCGCAAAGATGGATGTCATACAGTACTGCTGAAAAAGCCTCTCAAGCA